AGAATAGATGTAAAAATATAAATGTAAAATTTAAAAAGTTGCATTTTCTATTTACATGCAATATATCATCTAACATTACACATAAGATTGCAAAAGGTTTCAATTCGCTCAAAATATATAAGAACTTTAATTTTTGAAAGTATGACTACTTTGCACTTGATTACTTGGCATTTAATAAAAAACGTGTATGGAGGAAATATTACCATCAAGTGTAAAGCTTTATTGATTTTTTTAGTAAAACAATTTTAACTAGACGTTAATGCAATTTAAAGTAACTACGATGCTTTAAGTACTGTTTTTTACTCTAAATAAATTTGTAGTAAGGCATATCTAAATCCTGGGCCTTATCAGTACATGCAGTCTCCCATGTTCTTGCAAGATTTACATGGAACTGTAAAATCCTCTTATCAATCCCATTCAAGTTCTGGGTAACGTTAACTGCCTTAGTTATTAAATGTTTCCGGTTTTATTTATTATATAATTATTTTAGTGGAGTTAAAACATTTACAAAAACATCGTCGGGGATTTCCCATTCATTTCCAACCAGTATTGAATACAGGGGGGGTAAGTAAATTTTCTGATTTTGAGTACAGCCAATAAAAATTATGACTTTTGTGGTATTTGTACTTTTTTTTACATAAAAATTGCATTTACTGGATACAGTTGGGCATACATTATTTTTAATGAGGTCCATTTTGATGTAAAAAAAGTTATTGTTTATCACATCATAAATTCAAAAGGACTAAAGTTTTCACACAAATTGTAAATAAAAGTTAAGTTCATCTTATTAATGTGCAAAAAAGATCATTCAATTAACCTTTTGTAACTTTCACTATTTACAGAGTTATGTAAGCGAAAATGACTGAAAATACACCATTTTGATGAACTAATTGTTTATAGTTCATGCCATTCTGGAATTGCAAATTGACATTGCACGTGAATATGTTGTTTATAAAAATGTTAAAGCACGTTACGTTTAATAAAAAATGTAACCACTTTTCCATTATCTGCATTAATAGCAAATGTTGCTATTGCGTCGCAATGTTATAAACAGTCCAATTTTATAAACAGGGGATTATTAACATTATACAACTAAAAATTGATTTTATACATAAAAAATTTAGTGTAATTATTTGTTTGGCATATCACTATGAACAAAAATAGAATGTATATGGAATCTTAATATTCTAAATAAAAGTAGGTACTTAATGCAAATTCCGGCTTCCGACACATTTATTAACACACAAAAATTAAAATCCTTTCCGCCGTTTGTTTTTGGGAAAATCAATGTTATATTTGTAGTTAGAAGATCCGGTAACCTTCTCTACATAAAATTTCGAATGAATCGATGGAAGGACTCAATTAATTTTCGTCCAGGTGTCAGGTATTTGCAAGCAAATTAGCAAATATAGGTCAGAATTTGTATATATATATTTTTGTTCATAATAATATACAGAACAAATAATTCCTATGAACTCTCTGCGTGAGAAATCAATTTTTAGAAGCTAATAATTTTTAATGCTACCATTTTACGCCAAAATTGACATCATTTCCGTAATTTGCGTACCAAAAAGACAATATAAAATGATATTCAGTATGTAGTGCGCCATTACACTGTTATTTGAAATGGAAATGGAATGACCTAATTTTCTTTACTTTTTTTGGATACCTTTTATTAAATTGCTTTTACAAGAATGATCTACCCCCAAAGCTAATATATTTTAAGCTGTAATTAATTCAAAACGAGCTTTTTGCATTCGCCCATTTCTACCATAGCCCCTCAGCTAGTATCTTAAGTTGTGTTAAGGATTCCGGCTGTGAAAGCCTTTGTTTTTATATAGATTTATATTGAGAATTACGAAAAAGTAACAAATACCTCAAGTTTTTAATGCAAAATATTCTAGTTAAACGAACTGTTTTAAATAGAACCGGTTAATTAGTGCGGTTTTTAGTACATAGGTGGTTTATCGTTTGCTTAATTGTTTCCTGTGTTTAACTGAACACGATAAGTGCATAATTTAAATTATTTTTAAAATATTAAGGATGCAAGGATATTCCGACTGCTCCAATGAATGCAGGAATTAAGTGTTCGGTATATAATGGTTGTAAAGCTAATTGCATACCGAACTATCAATTTCCAAATGGCGAAATTCAACTTTATATTACTTGTCGAGATGGAGAATGGGAAATTGAAGGAACCGAATGGAGTACCATACCAGCTTGCGAACGTAAAATACTATTTTTGCGATTTTTGGAAAGTTTTCGTATAATATTTCCTAAATTTTAGCTATTTGTATGCCACCTTGTATTAACAACGGTATATGCACAGCACCTAATGAATGTAACTGCCCTGAGAACTATTCCGGTCCTCAATGTCAATTTCAGAACATTCCTTGTTTAAATCAACCCCCGATGTCTATTAATTCTAGAAGAACTTGCACATCGAAGTGCGTATATTCAAATGAGGATTAATTCAGGCAGGCGCATTTAATGTGATAATCATTTTACAGATCTTGTATCATCGCCTGTTTGGAAGGGCATCAATTTCCCGATGGATCCCAAATAACTAACTTAATGTGCGAAAACGGAATGTGGATGCCGACACGACAAGATTGGGTTACTGTTCCTGATTGCGAACGTAAAAGACATATTATTTTAGTATTATTGTAGTAGTACTACTGGTATTCTTTATATCTTTAGCTATTTGTTCTCCACCTTGCCAAAACGGCGGTAATTGTTTGTCTTTCAATGTCTGCCAATGTCCACAGGAGTATAGGGGGCCACAATGCCAATACAGTATGTTATAAACTTAAGTAATTTATTTTTAAAATATTGTTTATCTTTAACCACTTGCCAAAAATATTAATTTTGTCAAAAATTAGGAGCGGATGCTTGTACATCAACAAAACTCCAGTTTAACGGAGGGTACAATTGTTCTATCACGGGAGAATTTTTCAGTTGTGTTTTGTCGTGTCCTGAAGGCGTAGATTTTGAATTTCCTCCAGCTTCAATTTATACGTGTAGTTACGACACAGGGACATTTGTCCCGTTTCCAATTCCGCAGTGTGTTTATGGTAATATAGTTTACGGTCCTATTACATGAAAACTTTTCAATACTTTTTCATTGTTTATAGGGCATTTAATACCTATTCATGGCAATAATATGTACTATAATGAGTTCAATTCTTCATTTTCATTTGGTGGAGCATTTATGGAAGGTCAACAGATTGAAGGAACAGGCAAAATTAGTTTCGATTCTCAAAATACTTTCATTCCAGAAATTCACTTTCCAGTGGTAATTTTCAGATACAATAATGTTTATTTTTATCTTTTAAAATTATTCCTTACAGCCAAATCCTCCACCAGAAAAGTTAGTCAACAATATTCAGTTTATTCAAAATCCAAATTCTGTTAGTGGTGAATATTCAGTTGTTGAAACTAAGAAACCGGAGCCAGGCATTTGCTTCACATGGGGTGGAACGCATTTTAAAACATTCGATGGAAAAGTTTTCAGGTTTATTTTTACAATAAATGGTCAATAATATTTAAGTTTTCTTTTTAATTATGCGTTTTAGTTTTGAATCCTCTTGTGCACATGTTCTGGTTCGCGATTTAGAAGACCACACATTCAGTGTAATTGTAAAAAATAACAAAGAATGTGAAATAAATAAAGAATGTTATAGAATTGTTCACATTTATCTCCAAGACAAGGAATACATTCTTACAAAAAGTGGGTACAAGACAGCAAGGTAACTTATTTATACGCATCATTTTTTGTATTTATAGAAAATGGAGTTCCGGTTTTTGCATCTCCGAAAAAGATTTTTCCAATTCCTGCACGTTTGGCAGGAATTAGGGCTGAAATGTCAGCTCATTATTTCGTAGTTATAATTGATCCTGTGGGTGTTACAATTAAATGGGATGGACAGGTACATACCAAAAATATAAAAATAATTACTTAATACACGCTTACTCGAGTTTGATAAAAAGGATCTAAATGAAGTAGATTTTCTTAATACTCAAAGCATTTAAAGATATTTAGATTAAGCTAAATAATGTTTGTATCTGCTTTCGGTATAACCAAAATTAACTGTATGGTAAACATCTTTCTTGTATTATTTTAGCAATTGGTTCAAGTAGAAGTTAAAGAAAATATGTGGAATCGTACAGAAGGTCTTTGCGGTAGGATCGATGGTAATCCTCACAATGATATGATAGCCAAGAGCGGACTGGTACCTAAAAGTGTGGTAACTCTTGCCACCAGTTGGCAAGTAGATAACGTTCAAGGTAAATTAACAAAATTCAACTTGCTTTTCAATATATGTATATTCATCTCTTTCATTATTTAAGCAACGTGTAACAACATCCCCAAAGAAGAGCATGCTTGTCAGGATAATAACGATAAAAACTCTGAAGGACATAAAGCAATGGATTTTTGTCAAAAATTACTCTCCGATAACCGTTTTAAAGTATGCCATTCTGTTATGGACGTGTTTATGCTGTTGGACGCGTGCCGATGGGATTATTGTAATTGTGAGGATTTTCCAGAAAAATGTGCGTGTCAGACTCTCAATGTATACGTTCGAGAATGTGCACATAAAGGCGTCACCACCTTAACCAAGTGGAGAGACCAGGAGTTTTGTCGTAAGTATTACTACAAGATCTCACGTCAGTGTTGTGATGTTACAATAATGAAATAATGATAAATAAAAATAATGATAGCGATAATGACAACAATCATTTTATAATAATATATAGGGTGGTCCAAAAGTGCCTTCAAGTACAGCATCTTTGTCTTTATAAGTTATAAGACTTGTAAAAATGCTTAATGCTGTAGGTAGGGTTTGATAAGTAAGCGTTACAAATTAAAATTATTACCGGATTTAAAGGGCGGTGGATAAGTTTACTATGAACAAAACATACATTTTTCAATATAACACTATTAGCATTTTACCATTACTGTTAACTAGGAGATATCTTTAATTTGTGTACATGTCAGTTTCGATAAAGAGAGTTTAAGGTTTAAGTAATTTCACTGTTAATATTGCAGCTAAACATCACCCCTTATTATATTCAACTTCTACAATAGTGAAACCTGCACGTAGCTGTCAGAAAATTTACAAATAGTTAACGATAGTATGATCATCATTACAGTAGTAATCTAATTTAAGTTTACCCCTACCCCTCTTAACTAATGTGTCTGCTTCTAATGTGTCTCTAACTAGCCTTTCATGTCTGAGAACCTATCACGCATATTTCTTATTGATTTTCATTGTACTTTCTGTTCTTTTATTTTTTTNGAATGTTTATGCACAGCACTGGCCGCTTACGCTCAAGAGTGTAATAATAAAGGAGTTCCAGTGAAATGGAGGAGTCAGGAATTATGCCGTGAGTTATTTACTTAAGGTTTCTTTTAATTGCCATTATTTCTTGGTAAAACGTTTTTAACTTAAAATTGAACACATGGAACAAGGACGATTATATGTTCCACAAAATGAACCGAGAGAAGTAAACGAGACCTTAGTAGGAATAGGTAGCAATTAAGTTACATACATAATTAAAAGTTTAGAGAAACTCGAAAAATGTCCAAACAAAATAAAATGCAAGAAATATAAAACCTAAAACAAAAATACAACAGTTGAAAAGTTGCAATATTTTGATTACCTAATGTTTCTAAAAGGCCCTTTAGCACTGGTTTAAATAATCCCGTTTTTAAACAGAATATTTATTCAAAAAATAAACACTTCATTTTCAAATACTTGTATTGACTTTTATTAGCTATCCAGTGCGATCAACGTTGCTCGAAATATAGTCCATGTATATCTACTTGTCCGCTCGAAACATGCGATAATCTGCCTGTCCAAAGCAAATTGAGCAAATTGTGCACCGAAAGTTCTTGCATTGAGGGTTGTCAGATGAAGCCATGCCCACCTGGACATATTTTTTTGAACTCATCGGCACTTGATTGTGTTCCAATAAACGTCTGCAAACCCGTTTGTTTGAAAATAGGCGAAGCTATTTACTACGAAGGGGATATTATTGAAGAGGACGAATGTCATGTATGTTTCTGCTCAAGAGGTCAAAAGTTTTGTAAAGGGCATCCATGTGCTGCTACTACTACTACTGAACCCCAGAAAGAACAACGTCTTAAATGCGTAAACGGTTGGACAAAATGGTTAAATCAGGATAGAATACCAGCAAGAAAAACAAAAATTGGCCAAAAGAAACTTACCGATATCGAACCTTTGCCATCACAACTTTTGATGGTAAAGCGCTTCAAATTTTTATAAATAAAATACTTTTGATTAATTTATTTTGAACATCGAAAATTTTAGAATCAAATGAAAGGAAAAGCAAGGTGTTCTGTGAATGAAATGACGGACATAGAATGCCGCACTGTCAAGGGCCACAAACATCCGAAAGAAACGGATTTAGATGTAGAATGCAGTTTAGAAGGAGGTCTGGTATGCAAATCGAAGGAAGGGGAAAAACCATGTGAAGACTTTGAAATTCGAGTTAAATGCCAATGTGTAGTCACCTAATTCAAAAGTTGTTCTCAAAATTACTAATAAAATAATTACAAATTAAGATGATGACTGATAATGAAAAATTAAATCTAAATTCTCAGACAATATGATAGAAACATCTAAAGATGTTAAGTTATTAGACTATTGTCTCTTTAAAGAATTTTCATTTTATTTATTGATGGAATACAATCATAAGAAGTTTGTTAACCTATCAACTTAAGTTACTTGAACTCTATTAGATGAAAGAAATGAGCAGAAATTAATTGCTGCGGAAGCTGCAATAAATGTAACGAAACATTCAATAGAATTTCAAACTTACCTCTTTCATTTACACCTGTTCTATCCATAAATTTGTGAAATTTTTTAGTTGAGCTTCCTGAGAAAGTGGAAGTGTGGTGGGATGGACTGTCTAGGGTATACGTGGATCTTCCAGCAATTTTTAAACGCCAAACAGGGGTAATAATTAAAAAATATGTGAATAAGTAAATTTACAACTAGTTACATTGATGTGATGTTAAGGGTCTTTGTGGAACCTTCACTGATAATCAAAAAGACGACTTTCTCACTCCCGAGGGGGACATTGAGAAAACGCCAGGAGCCTTTGCGAATAAATGGAAAACAGCTGAAAAATGTACTGACGTCACAGAAAAACTGGTATCTCATCCTTGCGAGGCAAATATTCAAAATAAGGCGACTGCTGAACAACATTGCAGCATAATTAAGTCTAAAGAGTTTGAAGGTAGTATTAACTTTTTAAACACAATTTTGAGAAGGTAGTAGGAAAATACCTGCCGCGTTTGATATTAAATAGAAGCCTAGGTTCTTCATTATTATAAGGTCGTCAGTCCTATGACTGGTTGGACACGTACCTCCACTCTTTCCTATCCTGAGCTAAACTTCGCATTTCCCTAAAACTAGAACAGCCCACATCCTTAACTATTTGCGAACAGTAATCNAAAAAGTGATAATAATCACTTATAATTAATATAACCAGTTAACATAAAATTATTTTCAGCTATGCAATGTTCTGGAAACAGAGTTTACATGCCTTGCGCACCTCCAGAAGGTCAAGAAGTGTGCGGGGACGTACACGAAAAATCTAATGAAGATGGAACATGCGAAGAAGGCTGCTACTGTCCCCAAGGAACAGTTTTGCACAATTCAGAATGCATTATAAAAGAAAATTGTCCCTGCCGCTTGCGAGGAAAAGATTTTCCACCAGGCTCTTCTGTTCCTAAAGATTGTAACACTTGCACCTGTTTAAGTGGAAAATGGGTTTGCACTCAAGTTAGTTTGTAATGTGTTAATTTTGAACCGAATTTTTGTATAACTGTATTATTTTATATTAAAAGGTAGCCTGTGGAGGAAGATGTTCAGCTCTAGGAGATCCACATTACATAACGTTCGATGGAAAACGCTACGACTTTATGGGACAATGCTCATACTATCTGGTGAAACACACTAACTTTTCTATAGAAGCTGAAAATGTACCATGCAGCGGGGCTATTTCGCAAGTAAAAAAAATATGAAACCTCTGCTGAGTCAATTTACATTGCTTAATAAAAATTTCTTTACTACTTCCAGGCTATGAATCTTCCTTCAGCTGTAACTTCCGGTTTACCGTCATGTACAAAAACCGTTACCATCAGGATCTCAGATCAAACCATTAAACTTAAACAAAATCACCAAGTAACTGTTAACGGCCAAGAAATAACTCGAATCCCTTACAAAATAGCTGATGTTAATATAAGAAGTGTATCTTCGATTTTCTTACTCGGCAAGTTAACGTGTTTACTTAATATTGTGGTAGATTTCAAAGTACTTTATAGGGAGAAGGGGAACGGGTAGAATTTTATTTTTTATGGCAGTTTCTTCAACAGTTTCAGACCTACTCCTTTCTGTTCATTCCTTTTGTCATATATTTAAAAAAAATATACTTACTTGGTCAAAAAAATGTTTATAATTAAATATTCTCGTCTACAGTAAAATGAGATTATAATGTATTAAATAAAGATGGAAATTCTTTAAAAATAAAGTAACGTAGTCACCTAATTCAAAAGTTGTTCTCAAAATTACTAATAAAATAATTACAAATTAAGATGATGACTGATAATGAAAAATTAAATCTAAATTCTCAGACAATATGATAGAAACATCTAAAGATGTTAAGTTATTAGACTATTGTCTCTTTAAAGAATTTTCATTTTATTTATTGATGGAATACAATCATAAGAAGTTTGTTAACCTATCAACTTAAGTTACTTGAACTCTATTAGATGAAAGAAATGAGCAGAAATTAATTGCTGCGGAAGCTGCAATAAATGTAACGAAACATTCAATAGAATTTCAAACTTACCTCTTTCATTTACACCTGTTCTATCCATAAATTTGTGAAATTTTTTAGTTGAGCTTCCTGAGAAAGTGGAAGTGTGGTGGGATGGACTGTCTAGGGTATACGTGGATCTTCCAGCAATTTTTAAACGCCAAACAGGGGTAATAATTAAAAAATATGTGAATAAGTAAATTTACAACTAGTTACATTGATGTGATGTTAAGGGTCTTTGTGGAACCTTCACTGATAATCAAAAAGACGACTTTCTCACTCCCGAGGGGGACATTGAGAAAACGCCAGGAGCCTTTGCGAATAAATGGAAAACAGCTGAAAAATGTACTGACGTCACAGAAAAACTGGTATCTCATCCTTGCGAGGCAAATATTCAAAATAAGGCGACTGCTGAACAACATTGCAGCATAATTAAGTCTAAAGAGTTTGAAGGTAGTATTAACTTTTTAAACACAATTTTGAGAAGGTAGTAGGAAAATACCTGCCGCGTTTGATATTAAATAGAAGCCTAGGTTCTTCATTATTATAAGGTCGTCAGTCCTATGACTGGTTGGACACGTACCTCCACTCTTTCCTATCCTGAGCTAAACTTCGCATTTCCCTAAAACTAGAACAGCCCACATCCTTAACTATTTGCGAACAGTAATCTAATCTAGGTCTACCTCTACCCCTCCTAACTCCTGTTTCTGCCTCTAATATGTCTCTGACTAGACCTTCATGCCTGAGAAGGTGTCCTACCAACCTATCTCGCCTATTTTTTATTGACTTCCATAGAGTCCTCTGTTCTCCTATTCTTTCCAATACCTCTTCATTTCTAACCTTTTCTACCCACGATATCCTCATCATCCGCCTATAACACCACATTTCGAACGCTTCTAACCTTTTCTTTTCCGCCGCTCCCACTGTCCATGTTTCGCACCCGTACAACGCCGTGCTCCAAACATACACCTTTAACAACCTTTTTCGAATTTCTAAATTAACCGTTCGCGAGCATAGAAGTGACTTCTTTTTATTAAAGGCGACACGACCCTGCGCTATCCTCTGCTTTATATCCCTACTACTCATTCCGTCCTGACTTATCTGACTTCCTAGATATCTAAAATCAGCCACTTCTTCTAATTTTTCGTCTCCTATCTTTATATTCGCTCTTTCCCTACTTTAGTTTTACTTTTATTTATATTCATACAGTACTGATCTGTCAGTACCGCTTCCATTTTATTTAAAGCTATCTGTAGGTCCTCCTGGCTAGGTGCTAATACTGCTATATCATCTGCAAATCTAAACATACTAATCTTTTGCCCTTGCACATCTATCCCTACAGTTGTACTGTCTTTAATGATGTTTATGGCGTCTTCGATGTATAGATTAAAAAGTAGCGGTGACAATGTGCATCCCTGCCTGACTCCCTTCCTAATATTTACTTCTCTACGTTGCCTCCCTAGCTCTATAAGTGCCTGTTGCTCTTTATACAAACTGTGTATCACTCTTCTATCTTTGTAACTCATCCCTACATTTTTAAGTATATTTAACATCTTGTCTATCGTTTTCTCTAAACTCAAATTGATCTTCCCCTAATAGTTCTTCCGCCCTTTTTTCAATCCTCCTCTGTACAATTCTAGTTAAGATTTTTGACGCATGGGAAGTTAATTGTTGGAAATGTCTCGCACCTATCCGCGCCCCTCTTCTTAGGTAATGTTATACTACTACGTTCCGTTTATAATCCTCTGGGACTTTCCCCGTTTCGTAAATGTGACTAACTAGCTTAAACATACGATCTCTTGTCCTGCATGTTTTAGAATTTCCCGCTGTATCCCATCTACACCTGGCGCCTTATTATTCTTTAATTTTTTTAATGCTACATCGAACTCTTCTCTCATTATGGGATAACCAAGCTCATCTATTTCCACACTATCTTCCTTCTCTAATATATCTCCTAACTCAGGGCCTGCGTATAAGTTCTCCAAATATTCTTTCCACCTATCTGCCTTTTCCTCATTTTCTATCAAAATGACCACTGCCTCGTTTCTTATATTATCTTCTTTACACATCCTATCAATCCACTGTTCTTTAGCTGCCTTACACTTCCTAATTTCGTTTTGTTTAAGACCTAGTATATCTGTAGCTTCTTAGGCGTTAAATAAGATTTTCAAAATTTACTTATATATTATCTTTTTGTAAGAAGTAATTTTTTTAACAGAATCCCTGGCGTAACCTTTTTTTATTTGCAGATTGTCATTGGTATGTTGATCCTGAACCTTTTTACCAAGATTGTATGTATGATGTTTGTGCCTGCGAAACTAAAGAGGTATTCAGTATTAATTTCAATTAAATTCTGCCAAGCGAGTACTTATTGTTAGTATCAATGATTTGTTTTTATTTCCTAGTTATCCAGTTGTTTATGTCCCATGATATCAGCTTATGCCCAAGAGTGTGCATTGAAAGGAATAAAAGTAGATTGGAGAAATAATGTTCGAGAGTGCGGAATTCGTTGTACTGGTGGACAAAAATACCAAATATGCGGAAACTCATGTACTAGAACGTGTTCGGATGTTTCCCTTCATCCCGACTGTGATCGTTTGTGCATTGAAGGGTGCAACTGTCCCGAAGGGGAAGCCTTAGATGAATACGGAGAATGTATTCCAATTGGGCAGTGCAGCTGTCAACATGAAGGACTAGAATTCCGAGCAGGATACAAGGAAGTTAGACCTGCTAGCAAAGGTCTAGAGTTATGGTAAGAGAAAAAACGAGATGTTCTGTTACTGGTTAAGTTTTATCTTCACGGTTTTCATAAAAAATGCTACATGTTTGAAATTAAACTTTTTCATTGCAATTATGGGACTCTTAAAGTAATCTCCTCATTTTTAACCTTTTCTGTCCTCGGTATTTTTAACATCTTCTTATTATATTTCGACTCTCAAACTGTTCTCCAAACACTTTTCATAATCTTATTGTAATTTCTACATTAAGCGATTTCGAACATAAAAGTAATTTTATTTTGTTAAAAGAGATCCGACCTTGCGCTATTCTTCGTTTTATACCTCTAACACTTTTTCCATCTTAAGTTATCTGACTCCCTAAATATCGAAAATCTGCAACTTCTTCTAGTTTTTCGTCTCTTATTTTTATATCAGACCTAACTCAACTTTCACATCCCCTGCATTTCAATATTCTTTTATAGGAAGTGTATTAAAAAATTATAAAAATTTAAGATAAGGGAATGGGAGTTTTTCCTCATTTTTACTTATATGCATTCTTATACTAATATTTATGAAAGGGAAAAACTGGAATTTGAATCAGATACCTAGATATATTAAAATGTTCATTTTGGTACAATTTTTTAAGGGTATCATAAATAATTTTTATATAAAATCAGGAGCAAGATTATTATCTGCAAATTATAATAATTCGGGCAAATCCAATAGTATACTATTTAAGGTCGGATTTATACCAAATTAATAAATGTATTAAGAANCGGATTTATACCAAATTAATAAATGTATTAAGAAAAATATCTTTTATTACTCATTATTTTATTTTATATTATTTTCATTATTATATAATAATTTGTGCGTTTCTTTAATTTTCTTTTTAATAAATAAAGAAGTTCAAAAAACTAATAACATTTAAAAACTGGAGGACAGCAGGCCAAAAATGAGTCTTATGTACCATTATCATTTTAATAGTTTCTATTTATTTCTTTTAGTACTTGTTTAAATGCTCAATGGAGTTGTCAACCAGCAACAGAAGAAGAAGTGAAGAAATATCCTAACGCAGGTGATTTGAAAACGATGTGCGATTCTTCTAAAAATTGGGAATTTACCACTTGTGAATCAGAAAGGCCCACAACGTGCAAAGTAAAACGTATCTGTTTAAGTAAACAACAAATAATCCAGGAGAATCTTTTATTTTTCAGAACATGCATTCCATTGAATATGCCACTAGTTCCGAATGCCATCCTGGATGTCAGTGTAAAGAAGGATATGTGCTGGATAGTCACAGTAACGAATGCGTACAGCCTACTGAGTGTCCTTGTCATCACGGTGGACGAAGTTATGGAGAGAATGCAATCGTTCAGAGTGACTGCAACACTTGGTATAATATTTCCTTAAATACTTCTTATCTTAACACAAGCGGTCCATACTTGACTTGGTTGAAATTGAATAACGAATAAAGGTCGATTTTAGTTCTAAATACTACACTACACAAACTGCAAGAACACATGCAGGTATACGTATGTTGTATATACTCATGTAGGTATGTGCTTCACAAATAAAATATGAATATTCATACTTGCCAAAAGTACTCATTTTTCGATAATACGTACCGTTCGTGATTCATTTGGTTCAGATTACTGAGTCACTGTACTTACTATTCTTACTTATATTTTTCAATGGATAAATTCCATTACAGCACTTGCAAGGGTGGAAAATGGTCATGTACTGAACGTCAATGTGCAGCAGAGTGTAGCACATGGGGCGATTCTCATTACAAAACGTTTGATGGAAAAATGTACGATTACCAGGGACAATGTGACTACGTTTTGGCAAAAGGAGTTTTAACCACTGATGAATCATTTGATATTTCCATACAAGTATGAAAAATGTGATCATAACGATTATATCAATTAATTAATTACACTTTTGTACTTATTCTAGAATGTACCTTGCGGTGCCCTGGGAGTTTCTTGTTCCAAATCAGTTACCATAAAAGTGGGTCACGGATCTCAAATGGAAAAGATTACTTTGACAAGAGAATCGAGTATTCCTGTTGGAACTGGCCTGAAGAGAATGTCTATTCGCCAAAAGGGATTGTTTGTTATTGTAGAAGCTGCGGAACTGGGTTTGGTCATACTTTGGGACAAGGGAACGAGAGTGTACATTAAACTGGACCCACAGTGGAAAGATAAAGTACTAACCAATACATTTTAATATGGATTCAGTCAGAAATAAATATTATTTTTTAATTACTCTACAGGTGAAAGGATTATGTGGTAATTACAATGACAACGAGAATGACGATTTTCAAACACCATCGGGAGGTATTACCGAAGTGTCGGCTCAGCTTTTCGGGGATTCCTGGAAATTGCAATCTTATTGTCCTGAAACTGTAGAAATAACCGTACGTATTTGTTAATCAATATTTTTTATGATTTTCGCCTTTTTATGTATTCTAATGTAACAGGATACGTGTGAACAAAGGCCGGACAGGAAAATTTGGGCAGTTAAAAAGTGTAGTATTTTAAAGTCTTCTTTGTTTGCCCCCTGTCATTCTGAGGTTTCTGTAGACGACTATCTTAATCGTTGCATTTTTGATACTTGTGCATGCGATCAAGGCGGAGATTGTGAATGTTTATGCACAGCACTGGCCGCTTACGCTCAAGAGTGTAATAATAAAGGAGTTCCAGTGAAATGGAGGAGTCAGGAATTATGCCGTGAGTTATTTACTTAAGGTTTCTTTTAATTGCCATTATTTCTTGGTAAAACGTTTTTAACTTAAAATTGAACACATGGAACAAGGACGATTATATGTTCCACAAAATGAACCGAGAGAAGTAAACGAGACCTTAGTAGGAATAGGTAGCAATTAAGTTACATACATAATTAAAAGTTTAGAGAAACTCGAAAAATGTCCAAACAAAATAAAATGCAAGAAATATAAAACCTAAAACAAAAATACAACAGTTGAAAAGTTGCAATATTTTGATTACCTAATGTTTCTAAAAGGCCCTTTAGCACTGGTTTAAATAATCCCGTTTTTAAACAGAATATTTATTCAAAAAATAAACACTTCATTTTCAAATACTTGTATTGACTTTTATTAGCTATCCAGTGCGATCAACGTTGCTCGAAATATAGTCCATGTATATCTACTTGTCCGCTCGAAACATGCGATAATCTGCCTGTCCAAAGCAAATTGAGCAAATTGTGCACCGAAAGTTCTTGCATTGAGGGTTGTCAGATGAAGCCATGCCCACCTGGACATATTTTTTTGAACTCATCGGCACTTGATTGTGTTCCAATAAACGTCTGCAAACCCGTTTGTTTGAAAATAGGCGAAGCTATTTACTACGAAGGGGATATTATTGAAGAGGACGAATGTCATGTATGTTTCTGCTCAAGAGGTCAAAAGTTTTGTAAAGGGCATCCATGTGCTGCTACTACTACTACTGAACCCCAGAAAGAACAACGTCTTAAATGCGTAAACGGTTGGACAAAATGGTTAAATCAGGATAGAATACCAGCAAGAAAAACAAAAATTGGCCAAAAGAAACTTACCGATATCGAACCTTTGCCATCACAACTTTTGATGGTAAAGCGCTTCAAATTTTTATAAATAAAATACTTTTGATTAATTTATTTTGAACATCGAAAATTTTAGAATCAAATGAAAGGAAAAGCAAGGTGTTCTGTGAATGAAATGACGGACATAGAATGCCGCACTGTCAAGGGCCACAAACATCCGAAAGAAACGGATTTAGATGTAGAATGCAGTTTAGAAGGAGGTCTGGTATGCAAATCGAAGGAAGGGGAAAAACCATGTGAAGACTTTGAAATTCGAGTTAAATGCCAATGTGGTAAGTTAACATATATTTAAAAGTTCTATTTCATTGAGTATATATATATAAAGATTATACATATTTTCTGAAGAGATAGTAGCTATGTAGACAAATGTAATGTCGTGAAAACCCTAGTCCCAAGCAAGTTACTTAACGTGGCAACCACCATTTGAATTCAAAATTTCTGTATAACAGGAAAGGCAACTTACTTTCTTGGATAATGTTTGCTTTAAGAGCTGAATAACGTATGTAGGTTCGGTTTATTTTAATTCGTCTTCGTGGAGGGGTTTAAACTATTCTAGGTTCGTATTATTTGTTTATAAGTAAACATTTCGATTATAATAAGCAACTAATAAATTATTATCTGAGCTGACAGGCCATCATGTGTAGAATTGTTTCCTTGTTTTTTTTTAGGCCAGTAGTTCTCAACTTTTCTGGACCCTCGCATTGCCCCCCTTTTAGAAGAAAAAAAATTTCAACGCCTCATACTTCATTAGTCTAGTGCTCTTTAATAACTAAGCCGAAAATTTTGGGTTTCTTTTTTCTTTTGTTCCTCATTCCAAGGAGTATTCTATTAAGACCTTAACTTTGCGTTTACTTATTTTCAAAACTGTCCGCCATCTGGGAATCTTTTTTTCTTAAGTAACTCATACCACATGTTCTATTCATTATCGGTAATGTAAGTGGGTTCGTTTGACTCATCAGAATTGACTCTTCAATTAAGTTAAACTCTCCGATGTACTTGAAAATAGTTATAAAAAGTTATTTCTCCACGACCAACAGTTGGTTGTTGGTGTGTCTATCGCAGTTACAGGCGAAACACATGAGAAAAGTGCTTTCGTTGATGCTGACGAACAAAACTGTGGAAAAATCACGATTCTAATCTTCCTTCAATTAAAATTTATGTTTCAAAGTTTCAAGTTATGACATTTTTGAGTTGCCAAGAACATGCCGTGGTCGTTTTTGCAAGTTTTTCCATTTTATATTGTGGACGAATCTAAGAAGCTATAACGGATTGCGTTCGATTTTTTTGTCCAATATTTGGTCTTTAATTATTTCAATGGATTTTCAAATTACAGAAGAAACAACTTCTTCCACCGCAACTACTCCACCAGTAACTACCGTAGCTACAGTAATTACAGCATCCCCTTGTGATTTAACTACCCCTAACCAAGAGCATCCCACCGACTGTCACTTGTTTTATGAGTGTGTTACAAACATGCTTGGTCAAGCAGAACTGGTAGAAAAAAGCTGCGGTTCTGGTACTTTATACAATCCAAAAACCTATGTATGCGATTGGGCTGCAAATGTTATTAGCATCAAACCCCAATGCGGCGAAGGTAAATATAATTTTTTTTCGAATAGAAGTATTACAACTTTCTTGCTTGTTTTCTTATTGATCTTTGACCTTCCTTTTCTACAGTTTGTTTAATTTCTGATTTACAAAAAAATATTTAAGGATCACTATGTCCATCTGGCGAGAAGTTCGACTCTTGTGCTGTAGACTGCAATAATATGTGCATGTATTACAAGTATTTAATGAAACAGAACGGTTTTTGCAACAATTATGAAGATTGTGTAAAAGGTTGCGTTTCGGAACTTAAACCATCTTCTTGTCCAAATGGTATGTTATGGTCAAGCAATCAGACGTGTGTTCAAAAGCAAAACTGTATGTGTGTTACTGACCAAGGAAAACCAGTGAAGGTATGATTTAGTTTCCATTTAAATAATATAAGAAGGCAATCAAAGCACCGTTAATTTTTTAGACTATTTAGACATTATTTAAAAAATATTATATTACATAATGAGAATTTTGAGTACGAGGTTTTAAGTAGATAGACATAATTGTGGCGATTTAATAAAAGTAAACACTTAATAATACATACGTATGGTGTCACAATAATTTTGACTGTCCTAAACTTTTTTTTAACTCGCCACATAAACCTTTTGATATAAGTTCTCCAACATTATCGCCGCTGAGTGGACAGCGATATTCAAGATACAATGGTATTTTCATTACTGAATTATGTTAACAAAAGATTTGACATCTTATTTTGGAAAAAATCTTGAGAAAAGCAATAAAAAAAAAATACAAATTTATTGATTTGAAAGATGTTAATAAACAAATAACGTCTTATCGTAAAACTTAAAATAAGAACCTTTTTAACTGACTTCACATTATGATGCTAAGTTTTGGTACTTAATTGGATTTCTACATCTCTGTAGGTACAATCACATCAATTAAATTAAACAAAAATACATAAAGCTATTTTTGCCATTTTTTTCCTATTCTATCCCTTTCAATTTTCTATGCATCGTGTCTGTAATTGGGGTACCATGAATTTGGTACGGATCACTAAAATTGGCCTATTTTCTCATTTATTTTCTCTAGAATGATTTTATTTTACTTTTAGCCAGGAACAGTTGTTAAAGAGTCAGATTGCGCAGTTTGTCAGTGTATTGACAACTTTTATACTTGTGACGAGTCAGCATGTGTTACTAAAGAAATGACCAGTACATTCGAAACTAGTACAACACCTTCTACTAGCACTACAGTATTTGGCACAACACCTGAATTAAAAACTAGTAGTACTATATCATCCACCGGTACTGAAGTGTTCACTATTAAAAATACAGAAACTCCACCACCCGAATGTGATGGAAGCAGGTTGAAAATCTGTTTGTTTGTAATTTGTTTTTTTGTTAAATAATATCTGATTTTTATAGGTTCATTAATTTAATTGATGGTGACACTCCTCTGCCTGATGAGGCTTTTAGTGCTAGTAGTGAACTAGGCCAATATTTTTCTCCAAAATATGCTAGATTAAACAATGAAGTAACTGACGGTTCAGGTATCTACACTTTACTGGCGATTTGGTATTTGCTGGCAAATATAATACTTATAATTTTAGGAGGTAGTTGGATTCCTAAATCATCGGATCAAAGTCAATATCTACAAATTGACCTAGGAAAACAAGAACCGGTGTATGGCATAATACTTAGAGGAAGCCCATTATACAATAACTTTGTAACAAGTTATAAAGTAACTTACAGTCCTGATGGTTTCACCTTCCGATATATTACAGATGAAAATAATCAACCAAAAGTAAAATCACCAGTGCCAATTGTTTAGAAAGATGTTAATAAACAAATTTTATTTTAGATATTCAGAGGTCCTACGGATAATAAAGAAGCAGTTAAACAAATGTTTCCTGTTCCCGTTGAGGCAAAACTAATAAAAATCCTTCCTGTCACATGGCATGACACAATTGCATTAAGAGTTGAATTACTTGGATGTGGGGAAGAATCAGTTATCACTACTGAAACTCCAACAACAGTGACACAAACCGAAACCGTATGAAAACTGTAAATATCTAAAAACAAAAATTTACCGGCTTGATTTTAGGTTTTCTCTAAATTGTCAACAAAACCTCCCCCACCATTGTGTACTGAAGTAATGGGAGTCGATAATGGTTTGATTGCAGATGAACAAATTTCCGTTAGTTCAGAATTGAACAAGGATCATGATAAAACTCAATTAAAAATGAATGGGGTATCTTATTGGCAACCACTTACGAATTCTCCATTGGAATGGGTTCAAGTACGCATAAAACAATTTTGTGCTGTTTTATTTATTTTGATTAGGTAATATTGCTCTATTTTATTTGATGAACAGTTTGACTTCTTGGAGCCCCGTAACATAACTGGCTTTGTGAGCAAAGGAGGTCCCAATGGTTGGGTGACAAAGTTTAAAATTAAATTTTCGCACGACGGGAAGGTGTGGTATGCTATTCTAGATGGTTCTCGAAATGAAAAAGAATTTCTCGGAAATTATGACGAAAATTCAGAACAAACTAACTATTTTGATCTACCCTTGCAAGCGCGTTTCTTCAAATTACTGCCTGAGAAGTGGCATCGTAACATTCAATTGAGAGCTGAAGTATTGGGATGTTATAAACCATATCGTAAGTTGCTTTTCCAATCATTTTTACTACATCCCACTATAATTTATTAAGCACACAAGGTGTTTTTAAATTTTGAGGAATTTTTGTATAATATTTTATGTATCTAGCGTGGGTTCTTTGTGAAACATTATTTCAATTTATAAATAAAACAACGAAATTAGGTAATACTTCATCTGTAATTGTTTTGACTTGTTAAGCTTCTGTCAAGACTAATTTTAAGGTAGTCTGGGGTAGGTATTCTAGGTAGTAATTTTCTAAAAATTTTTCTTTCGAAACATACTTTTTTGTTATTTTGCTATTAATTTAGTGTGAGAACCTAGAATAACTAAAAGTATCTTTCAACATATATATATAAAAAATCTCAAATTGAACGTAATTCTTGATTAATTAATTTCCAAAATCGGTCAGAAAACGAACGATTCAAGCATTAAACTTTAGACCGCTCTATTGCTAAAACTATTAATTTTACGTATAAATAAACCATCCAAATTTAATACTCTCCTAAAATCCGAAAACTGTTTTTTGTTTAAATAAAAGAATACTGATTCCAGAACTCCTGAAAAACTTGTTATCATTTATGTGCTAGTTTTGACTTACTGGGTCAATTATTAAATTTATTTAATAAGAACTTAGTCTCCATTTACAACTTTGGTGTAATTTTAATTTAATACTAGCGTTAACTTATAAAATAATTTCAGGAACTTATTTTTGAGTCATTATCCAAAGGAAAAGCTACTCATAATATTTTTTCTAATCTATTTATCTTTAAAACGTATGAAACAAAAGCAATAAGAATGTTTTGGTATATTAGTGTGTCTATTTGTTGTTTTTTAACCCTGATTGTACTATTTAAAGGAAATAAATAAAAGGAGGGGGTATCTAATACTTTATAAGGAAAGGTGTACACATATACATATTTAAAAGGCTAACTAAGTGTAATATAAAGATCGCAAAATAAAAACGTGTCGTTCTATGAAAATCTTGATCATTTTGACCAGAAAATAATTCCTTAGTGAATTTATATCTATATATGTATATCTACCGATAATTACTTGGGAAACATACAGAATTTCAACTATGTCATGCTGTTTTATTTTCTTATCACTATATCCATTGCTTTTACAATTTCAGCAACAACAACCAAAACTCCACCTGTTGTTAAGAATTGTGATTCTTGTCCCGGTGTCACAAATGTCGAAAGCGAGCTTGATATATGCAAATGTGAACAGGGTTTATGGTGGGATGGTGAAAATTGTGTTCAAAGGTCGCAGTGTCCTTGTATGGTAGGACACTTTTCGTAAGTTCAAAAAACTAAAATTGTTCAAAGTGTTCATTACCCGCTTTGAAAATATTTTCGTATTTGCAGTTATGCAGTTGGAACAGTATTTGAAAAGGAAGATTGTTCACAATGTATTTGCAAACTTGGCGGTATCGAACACTGTACGCCCAAGGAATGCGAAAAATGCGAAGAGGTGAGGACAGAACATTATTTCTCAAATTGGTCATTAATTGAAGTGTTTGTCTGCAATATTGAAATAACCGCCTTTTTAAGTTTATGTGGTTATTTGTACGCTATACAACACATGGGTACAACAATAAGAGGTCCCAGGGTGCCTGGGCACCCCTTGACTTATGGTGGACATCATCACTCATCTAAAACTCAGTTTTTTAAAACCCTTTTAACTCGAATGAACGAGTTACTAGCCAGAAAATGAGAAAAAATAACTATTTTTCGTAACAGTTTAGGATTTGCTGTCAATGAATAAAGGACAACTTGAATTTAAGTCGTACGAACAGGTCCTACTATGTATAAGTACCGTATGGAACATAATGGACGAAATATAAGGAGTATTGTTTTCATTTGTTTCGAATGAGTCTCTGGGAGTACAAAAATTCAAAAATTGTCAAAATAAGGACCATCCTAATATCATCATCATCATCATCACAAGGTCGTCAGTCCTAAGACTGGCTGGACATGTACCTGCACTCTTTCCTATCCTGAGCTAATCTTCCTATTTCTCTATAACTAGAACAACCCATATCCTTAACTATTTGCGAAAAGTAATCTAATCTAGGTCTACCTCTACCGCTCCCCATTTCTGCCTCTAATATGTCTCTCACTAGACCTTCGTGCCTGAGGTGTCCTACTAACCTATCTCGCCTATTTCTTATTGACTTCCATAGAATCCTCTGTTCTCCTACTTTTTCTAATACCTCTTCATTTCTAACCTTCTCTATCCACGGTATTCTCATCATTCTTCTGTAACACCACATTTCGAACGCTTCTAACCTTTTCTTTTCCGCCGCGCCCACTGTCCATGTTTAGCACCCATACAACGCCGTGTTCCAAACATACATTTTTAACAACCTTTCTCGAATTTCTAAATTAATCGTTTGCGAGCATATAAGTGACTTCTTTTTATTGAAGGTGACTCGAACCTGAGCTATCCTTTGCTTTATAACCCTACTACTCTTTCCGTCCTGACTTCCTAGGTACCTACCTGAAATCGGCCACTTCTTCTAATTTTGCATTTATCTTAACTAGAGTTGTACAGAGGAGGATGGAAAAAAGGACAGAAGAACTATTAGGGGAAGATCAATTGGGGTTTAAAAGAAATAGAGGAACACGGGAGGCCATTCTAGATTTACGGGTAACAATAGAGAAAACGATAGAAAAAAGAAAGAGTGCGTTCATAGGATTTGTAAATTAATAAAAAAAACTTTTGACAATGTTAAATGGAACAAGATGTTAAATACATTTAAAAATGTAGGGATGAGTTACAAAGACTGAAGAGTGATACTTAGTTTGTATATAGAGCAACAGGCAGTTATAGAGATAGGGCTGCAACGTAGAGAAGTAAATATTAGGAAGGGAGTCAGACAGGGATGCACACTGTCACCGCTACTTTTTAATCTATACATCGAAGACGCCATCAACATCATTAAAGACAGTACAACTGTAGGGATAGAC